TGCGCCAGCAGCGACTCCGTCTCCGTCGGCAAATTAGCACTAACTGCACAGTCATCCGTCACACAGAGCTTACTGGAGCTTTCTGCGCATGGCGCTTTGGATTGTCCTTGTCCTTTGTCTTGCCCAGAGGGCTTGCTAGGGCTGTCCGTGCCTCCTTCTGTGCACGTCAGGATGTTACTGATCTCAAAAAGCTGCAACCTGCCCTCAAAAGAGGGATCCAAAAAGATCGCAAGGCCTACCTTGCTTCTGTTGCCCAGGCTGCGGCTCAATCCCCAGTCAAGGACACTGTCCAGAAACTCCGCCCACTTCTCGGACCACCTCGACGTCAGTGCCGGGGCCTGCAGGCCCTTCCCCTCATCAAGCTTGAGAATGGTGAGGTTGCCCCAGATCGTGATGCATCTGATGCCCGATGGCTTCGTCATTTTGCTTCCATCGAAGATGGGGGACCTGCCGATGTCAGCGAGCACATCGCTGCTTGTGTTGCCAGACAAAACGAGCATGACCTGGATGGCTTTACACTTGCGTTGCACGACGTGCCACATCGGGTTGATATCGAACGTGGTCTTCGAGCCTCGCAAAGCGGCAAGGCAGTCGGCAACGATGGGATTTTGCCTGATCTGCTACACCTCCAGGCCGCAGGGTTGTCACGTGCTGTTTACCAAATTTTCCTCAAGACGGCATTCCGTTTGCAGGAACCTGTTGCTTGGAAAGGGGGTACCCTTCACGCAATTTGGAAGGGGCGTGGCAGTCAATCTGATTGCGCCGGGTACCGTGCCATCCTAGTGAGCAGCTCAATCGGTAAAGCTATACACGGGGTTTTCCGCAACAAGTGTTCAGGTTACCTCGATGAGGCATGCACCCCCCTACAAATTGGGGGACGCAAGGGGCAACCCGTCCAAGTTGCGACCCAGGCTGTTCGCGCCTTTCAACAGGCAAGCATTTGCTCCCGGTGTTCTTGTGCTGTACTCTTCGTAGATCTCCGCGAAGCATTCCACCGGGTTGTGAGACCCCTGATTCACGGAGGTCCTTTGTCTGACCAGCATCTCGCTGGCATCTTTAAGGAAATCGGACTTGCCCCTGATTCCTTGCATCGATTCTACGAGTATGCCACACAACAATCCCTTGTGCAAAGTGCTGGAGCAACCCCTTGGGTTGCTCAAATGCTCAAAGAGTTTTCGGCTGACTCTTGGATCACTTTTGGGCAAAGCAATGCCTTTGGCGTTGTCCACAGTGGAACTCGTCCAGGCGATAATTTAGCAGACATGACATTTACATTCTTGTTTGCCGAGATCCTTGCGAGAATCCGTGCAGCATTTCGCCAGCACAACCTCCAAGTCGTCTTGCCCTGGAGCGAAGATTGGCTTTGTGGAGCTGTTTCCGATGCAGCCACAGGGAATGCACACTGCAGCCCTCTAGACGTGACATGGATGGATGACCTTGCAGTCCTACTGCAGGGCCGCACACCCAAAGAGCTCATTGAGCGACTGCGTGCAGCCACTGTTGTGACACTTGAAGAGTGCATCAAAGCGGCCTTGTTGCCGAACCTGCGAGCAGGTAAGACCGAGGCTGTCGTTAGCCTCTATGGCCGCGACTCGACACGTCTTGCGAAGGAACTGTTTTCAGCGTCAGAGCCTACGCTTGCACTTCACTCCAAGCTGTGGCCCTCTGCCAGACTTCGTCTAGTTCCGATGTACAAGCATCTTGGAGGTGTCATTCAGGCCAGCAAGGGCATCAAACATGAACTGCGAGCTCGACTAGGCTCTGCGTGGCAGGCTTTCAACAAGCACAAAAAGGAAGTCTTTGGATCTCCAGTTGCGCTGCCTGCAGAGAAATCACAGCTCTTTGCTACGCTTGTCGAGTCCACCTTGTATTATGGCAGCGGGACTTGGACGCGACTGACACCGGCCGATGCTGACCGCCTCCAGCATAATTTGGTGCAGATGGCAAGGCATATGCTACGGCCTCGCATACGCTACGATGAGGCCTGCCACAAGAGCAATCTGTACGTCCTGGCATTAGCACGTGTTGCTTCTGCTGTAACCTCCCTCCACACCGAGCGCCTTCGCCACTTCAAGACCACCATTGTCAAGGCCACAAGTGAGCTGTGGGCCATCTTGCACTACGACAAGGATTGGCTACTCTCTGTTCAAGATTCACTTGACTGGTTTCGGTTACAGCACCGAAGGTCCGGCACCCACAGTGCCCAATTTGACAGCTGGAATGATGTTGTCTCCTTTGTTCGGGCACAGCCTTCCGCTTGGAAGCGAGCAGTCAACAAAGCCCGACACACAGCTGTACTGACTGAGCTATGGCTGGCTGAGGTTCAACAGCATCATGGCCTGGTCTACCGTGCACTGATTGCGGCAGGAGCCTGTCTGCCTCCAGACATTGATCCCGGTCTTGGCAGTTGCGAAATTTGTGCCCAGTGTGGTATTGCATTCGACAATCTGCGAGCTTGGTCCCACCATGCTTTTAAGACCCATGGCCGAGTCAATCCGGTCAGACTTCTGGCCAAGGGGTCGCAGTGTGCTGTTTGCCTCACTCAATATAAGACCAATAAAAGCCTTTGTAATCACCTCGGATACAGCCAGCGATGCCGTCATGCGCTGCTCAATGCAGAAGTTCGATACACGCCTGAACCTGGGACGGGCAGCCGGAAGTTCCAGGATGGCAGCCGTGTCCTTATGCCGGCCATGCGTGCACAGGGGCCTCTTGGTCAGTGGAATTTTGCCCCGGTTGTCGAGGAACCCGATCTCCCTTCCGAGGCCATCCTCCTTGCACTTGAGGATAGTTTTGTACACGACGAGCACCGCTTTGGTGCATGGACTGCCTTCCTAGCGCATTTCCGTGCAATCTTTTCCGGACAGTGCCTGCAGCAATCCCGCTTACGAGCTACAGCCCGTGCATGGCAGACACAGGTTGAAGAGACTCTGCAGCAGGATGAGGACATTTCTGTGCGCTGGGCAGGGTGGCACCGTCGTGCCTCTGCATTGCTTGTTGACATCGATTTTGTCGAATGGCTTGGGGGCGACTGTGTGCCGCCTGAAAGACTCACGGCCACTTTTCGTGATGCCGCGATCCTGCTACCCTGGCTTGAGTTCAGCGGCGTAGAGATCGCATGTATTCAGGGCAGACTTTCCCCTGGGTTATGTGTCACGGATGCAAGGAGACCCGCTCCTTGGCCCACTGATGTCTTTGAGATTCTGCTGCCTCACAGTCAGTGCCTTGCCAGCCCTTCTTGCCTTGACTTTGGCAAATGGGCCAGCGAGTTTCATGAGGGAAAATTTGCTCACATATCTTGCGTTGGACTTCTGTCCTCACTTGATCTGCCAACTCCTCTCCGGTCTCACAAGAGCATTGCCGGCCCTCTCAGCTCGCTTCGTCTTTTCTCTGACCTACTCAGGGGTGCGTTCTTTTGCTGGACCAAAGAAGTACCAGTCAGTGTGCTTCTGCCAACAGGGCTTTGCCCAGCTGCTGAGGCCATTCGCAAGTTAGCACCTATCTCCCTGAAATTTGCGGAGTGTGACTTGCTTGCGAACTTCGACCCAGCGAACGCCACTCCCTCTTGTTTCACTCCTTAATTACTGCAAGCCACCATGGCTGCGTCCAACCCAGGACTCATTGCCACGAAAAGCGAAAAAAGCGAAAAGCGATATATATATATATATATATATATATATATATATATGAAACTCTACTTGGAGAGTCCGGTATAGGGTTTGGGGCTTCAAGGCCTGGGGTCAGAGGACTTAGTAAGTACCAGTAGCCCCAAATATCTACCTGTAAGGGCTTTCTCTTGAGGAAATACATAACAAGGTAGGCTTTTCGGGCTACAAGAAGTAAGGCTATATGTGGCTTAATGGAGGTTACAGGAACTTTCAAGCATACTTACCTCATGTTTGACAGTTGCTAAGTCCCTTGTTGCTGTAAGCCAGCCTAAAACTTGGTCCATGCGAGAGATCCTTGTTACTCCTGGAGACCGGGTTCCTAATATTGACAAGGGAGCGCATTTGGAAAAGCATCGGTTTCTTTCCTTCCTTCGTGACAGGGACCCAGAGAACCTCTACATGCAGACCCAATCCTTCAATGCTATGACTATGACATGCACCCAAATGGCTATGGCATACACGTAATGAACCAAAAGCTCCAATACCTAAAACCCTCAAGTGTGAGTTTCATGTCCGGACTGGATGCTTTGGGTTGAAAGTCCGGTTTCGGCGTCGGTGGCTGCAAGCCACATGCTCAAGTATACGGTGCTCCGAGCAAGGCGCTGTACATGCAGGCTGGCAAGGTGGGCGGCGCCAGACTCTTTGCCTTAGCGACCCCGAAGTCGATTCAGAAATCCGGATGATGGGAGCAAGAATGGGGAAACAAGCACAGATACAGGTCTTTGCATCCAGTTCGATTCGTGGGCACGGGCGCAAGAGCGACGAGCCCGGTGGTCCTCCTGACAGCATCAGCTGGACGCCCGGGCACCTTCTCCGTTGCCCGCTGATGAACCCAGATTTTCGGGCGCAACTCTAAACCCTAAACCCTAAACCATGACCCCTAAACCCTTATAAACCCTAAATCGAGCATTCAACGCAACAGAGTCTTCGGCTTTATGCACGGCAGTACAACGACCTCCGGAGCCGCACGCTCCGTAGATCCACAAAGCCCTGAACAATGGCCCGGTTATTTCTGAACGATTTTTTGCGTATGCTCCGACGATGAACCCGACAGCGCTGTTCTAATCATAAAGGTTCCTATGTATTTGCTCTATCGGCTGGAGAATGGAAGACAGTGCTCTTTAGATAGGATGTTATCCTCCAAATCTTCGCCCCAAAAGCTCCCACGAAATCCTTCCTATAGGGGCTTAAAGAGTTACCTACACTATTTTGGGGTTCCCTTATATTTCTAGTATGATGGGCCCCAAAACCCTATTCTAAGTATTGTGGCCCTTTTTTACCCAACAAAATCGAATGATTCAGCCACCCTTATCAGCAGACCCCACGTGGCAGGATGATTCGGGATTCGCAGTGAAACCTCTGCCGGCTTGTTCTCGCTGGCCGCCCAGAATCAGACATTCTCTGAGACTTCAGTAGCTTGGATGTTTGGGGGGTTTACCAGGACCCTATAAAACCTGCCGTTTTAGGGATCCTCTTTTTTGTTTTCCGTATTGAATAGGCTGGAGTCTCGCGTCCGTAAAGCCTTCCATCTTAAGCTCTTACCTCTTATCACCCACAAAGGCTTGCAGTCCTAAGAGCCTCAAACAACCCAACATCAACCCAACAATTTAATATAGAAGCTGGAAGAATAACTGGTACTGCTACTCCTTTAGGTTCCATTTTCCACTTGCATACTTATATATATATATACTTTACCACAAAACCTTTCTCGGATCAACTGTTAAGGCGCCTACATGAAATTCGGTACCCATCTTCTCCGATGCACGGAGGTTGCACTTGGCAGTCTTCCTTTGTCACGGTGGAGCTGCTGGGCCCTCAGAGTTGTCATGCGTCTATATATATATATATATATATACACACATGTTTTTATCTATTTTACATATATATATATATATAGGCATCATGGCGTTGTCGGTTTTGTGGGTTTGATTAGAGCTGGTTACGGGTTTAAAGATCTTGAGGAGCAAGGACTATACGGATTAGGGTTCAGGGTTTGAGGCTTGGGGCATTGCGAGAGCGTGCAGTGACCCTATGAACCCTCGACCCTACACAACTTTCCCGCCTTGTGCATGTTGAGGCTGGAGGCCTTGGATGTGGACATCGCCTACCGATTCTTGTTGCGGTGGCTTTGTCAGCATTTTGAGCCAGGCGCATTTTGAGTCATTGAATATATAGAGGTTGAAAGCCGGGTCGCTCCTTGCATGCAACTGTATGGTCAGAGATCTCAAGCCAGAATCCCAGTTCTCGAATTAAGGAAGGGAGCTTCCAGAGTTTCACTAGGGAACATAAATACATAGGGACTACAAGGGGGATGTGACTAACGACCAATGAGCAATGACATCAATCATGTGGAAGGTGCCTGCATTTCCTACCTGGAGTGTCGGGGGACTTGCTAAGCAGCAGTTATCTTATAAGAACCATATCCTCAATTAGGATGTCTTTCAGCATACTTGCAACTCCTTTTGCCTACTTACTCAGGCAAGCAATGGCCTGAACTTTCAGCCGAAATCCCGAAGCCCGGGTGCGCACCCAAGCTGCAAGCCCAGAGCCCAACAACTGTCACCCCAAGCATCCAACAAGATTTGCCTTATGAGGTACAATGGGGTTCCCTTCAGGAGGACTCTATATAGCTGCAGGCTTTTCAATGAGGGTGCCTAAGGGTTTGACCGATTCCTAACTGATGTTTCGTGGGTTGCTGTAAGGGTTCTAGAAATTAGAATGGGCTTATTCAGAGCTGAGGAAAACGGGATTTGGAGAATGATGGTGTCGGATTTGGGCCTCTTTGCGTAGGTTTAAGATTTAGGATTAGGGGTTTTTGGGTTCAGAGTCCTCAAAGTAGCCGAAAGGCTTCATACAGTCGTGTCCCTCAGCCCAAAAGATATGATCCTAAGCTCTACAACCCATACAACCCGGAGTCTTGAGCGCCGTAGAGCCTATGAATAGGGTTACGGTTTCACATTGGCTTCCTTCCGAGGCTCTCCAACTCTCTTGACATCGGAGTGGAGAACAGGCGAGCCGTGACACGACGCGTTTGAGGTTGAACCTTGAATCTCTGCTAGAGGATAGGTTTGAGGGCTGCTTGGTGTGAAGGCTTATATTGGGGCCTTTTTCAGGCCCCTATATTACGGTTCCGGATTCAGGGAGTCTGAGAAATGCACCACTGCCTCGCCAATGCCCCTTTCGATCCTCCAGGTGGCGTGTCTCCACTGAGCTCGCCGGCGACACCTTGCGCTTCCGGTCGCATTTGCTGGTCAGTGCTTCGTATGTCTATACATGTTGTTGTGTACATCTATATATACGCATATATGTGTGTATCTGTATATGTGTTTGTAGACGATGCATGCACGATTCATCGGGTTAGCTACCTATATATCTGATTCTTGCTCCCCCGAACTGTAGCAGGTCTGCTAGGCGTCCTAGTGTACGGACATTATTCGAAGTATAGACAAGCACACACGGTATGCAACAACGACTACTCTGTTTCCGTGGCTCTTGCAAGTCCGTGAATCGACCCTCATATACCCCTTGTCGAAGCCTTATACAACGGCCGCAGGGCAGACTGTGCGCTAAACCGTAAACCTTATAACCCTTAAACCCCGAACGTTGAACCACAAATCCTAACTCTAAGCCTTCAACCCTAAAACCTAGAACGCTATAGTCCCTTAAACCCCCTGATACAACCCTTTCGGGTGCTCTGCCTGAATCCTAAGCCCCTGAATCCTTAACCCCTAAACCCTTAAACCCCTGAACCCTAAACCCCTAAACCCTCAAACCCTCAACCACCGAACCCGTAAACCCTAAACCCTTAAACCCTAAACCCTACACCCTCAAACCCCAAACTGAAGTCGGACGATGCTGCCCAGGCACTTGGCCGAGAGCGTTCCGAACTTTGATCTGACACCGATGCCGGACTGGGCGTGCTGTTGTTTTTTTTCAAAGTTTAGGAATTGTGTTTCAGAGTTTAGGGTTTTTTCAGAGTTTAGGGTTTAGGGTTTAGGGTAGGGTTGTACTAGGATTGGGCGTGTTGTTGTTGTTGTTGTTGTTGTTGTTGTTGTTGTTGTTGTTGTTGTTGTTGTTGTTGTTGTTGTTGTTGTTGTTGTTGTTGTTGTTGTTGTTGTTGTTGTTGTTGTTGTTGTTGTTGTTGTTGTTGTTGTTGTTTTCGGGGTTTAGGGTAGGGCTGTACTAACGGAAAGAATTCTAGAATGGTCGAATTTATACTGAAAAGAAGTCTAGAATGGTAGGGCAAGGGTACTGCAATGTAACAAAGAAGTTTGTAATATTTCGTAGAAGAAGGGAAGTTACTGTAGTGACACAAGAGGTCGATAAGAATAGAATAAGAGTACTAACGTAACACAAAAAGAGGTCTGTAATAATAGAATAAGAAAACTATCAATATACTATACTACGGTTGGTGATATGATACAAATCCTGCATTACCCATTATAAGGAATATACCATAGTTCCCATAGTTTAGAGTCCTTAGAGTCATGCAGGATTTTGTCCATCAGCAGTAGTACTATAACCCTTGGAGTCCGACTTCTTCTATCAGTATTTTTAAGGGTTTGGTAAGGGTTTTGCACGGGGAGCCTTTTATTGGTCGAGGCTTGAAGGTGTCTATGGGTGAAGAGCTTAGGGTTTGGGGTTTAGGGTTGGTTCAGGGCCATTGTCTCGGATTGAGAGAAGAGTGCCCACAGTATGCAGAGGGTTTGACAGCAGGATTTCGATTGGTTAGGGTCTTAAGCCAAGCTTGAGGCTCTGCAACAGATCTAGGCTTTTGGGTCCACCGTGGATGGCGAATCTCCTCTTACAGCAATGTTAGCAAACTACTCACGTCCCCCATCTGCCTACACATGCCTAGACTCTTCCCCTGTGGTAGCTGCAGCCTTCGGCACGGGAGACTAAACCGAAACTAAACCCTAAACCCCTAAACCCCTAAACCCTAAACCCTAAACCCCTAAACCCTAAACCCCTAAACCCCTAAACCCTAAACCCTAAACCCCTTAACCCCTAAACCCCTAAACCCTAAACCCCCTAAACCCTAAACCCTAAACCCCTAAACCCCTAAACCCTAAACCCCTAAACCCCTAAACCCTAAACCCCTTAACCCCTAAACCCCTAAACCCTAAACCCTGAAGCCCCAGACCTTACATCCTCATCCCGGCGAAACCGCGCAGGCCTCGGCCCGGTAACCTCTTAACGCATCAGGGGGCTTAGTAACTAAAGTAGGAGCCCAAAAGTTGGAAACCCAATAGCCTCGATCCTTAAGAGCCATTTATAGGGAATCCCAGCACTATTTGGCCTTCATCCGGTTTCCAACTTTATGGGGTTTACTTTCGGCTTACAAGTGAACAAACTGTGCTTACACTTATAATTACCAATGAAGGTATTTATCCCTAAACCCTATACCATGAACCACTATCATAACTGTACTTACTAAGTCCCCTGCACCCTAAACCCTAAACCCTAATGCTCCTCCAAGCTTTTGCAGCACAGGACATCGGACTCTACTCCACAGACGTGCGCGAGGGCTTCGTGCAGAGCTTCGGCTGCAAAAACCGAACGCAAGGGGTCAGAAAACCCTAAACCCTTAAACCCCTAAACCCTAAAACCCTAAACCCTAAACCCCTAGACCCTAAACCGTGGGGCTTAGGTTCAGGTTTTAGGAGTCATTTAGCTTCGGGGTTTAGGGCTTCTCGGGGCCAGTGGGGGGGGGGGGGGTTCAAAGGAGAGGGTTGCCTTGGTAAAGTGTCCTTACTTAAATTTTATGGAAGAAGCCTGCTAGTTACGGTCTCCATTTCGGTTCCCTGTTTGCTTTTCTCAAACTCCCATATATATATATATATATATCTGTGTGTGTGTGTGTGTGTGTATGTGTGTACGTCTCTGTGTGTGTGTGTGTGCGCGCTGGACTTGCTTGGCATTGATTCCCCTTATTTGTTTTCACGTTGCATTGCTTGTCTTTGCGGTATGCTACTCAAGCAAAGTGTATATTACGTCATCTTGCAGTACTCACTTAGCTGATTAATGAAGTGTGCAATTGTATCTAACGAATGAATTCGAGAAACATAACGGTAAATTATGCAAAAGTAGATGTTGACAATTATGTAGATTTGGATGCGTCTATACATATACAGATGCAAAAATACAGGCACATATTTATGAACACTTAAATGAACATGTCTATTTTCAACTTAGTAGGATTTACAGCAGTTTCGACATGAGGGTATTATGTGGGTTATTTGCGCTAGTCATTTTAATGTCATTACAAACATTTACTAACCTTCAGCCATTTGGGCGAAGGCGATCCTCTTACAGCCGGAGGAAGCAATTTCTTACATTCGGTTGGTTCGGACGGGCGCTGGAATTTGTCACGGTGTTCCTAGCTCAGGCAAGCTTTGGGATTATTGAGGCTCAGGCTCCGGGTGGTAGAGTGATTGAGTTCCAGGTCCCCGCAACCACCAGCCCTGAACCCTGAATGTGTGAGTGAGTTTGTCCTCGAAAGCCGTGAAGGTTGGTGCTGATTCAGTTCCGACTCACCACGCCTCATGGATGCAATCATGTATTCGCAGCAAAGCCTACATTCATGCAATGAGGCTTTGGCATTTGGGGCGCTGCCTCTTTCTCTTAGTCATGATTGCGCTTAGCCAACATCAATATGGATCCCTCACAAGGAGCCCTTAGCGGACCCCTGTTCTAATCAGTCACTCAGGCCATTTGTAGTAGCTTGAGGCTCCAGAAGGGTTTGTAGCTCTTGCCTGCTTTTGCTCTCTCTTGTTCGCTCTTGCTCGCTCTTGCTGGCTCTTGCTGACTCTTGCTGGCTGTAGCTTGCTGTAGCTTGCTCTTGCTTGTTCTTGCTTGTTCTTGCTTGCTCTCGCTTGCGCTTGCTTGCGCTTGCTTGCTTGCTTGCTTACCTGCTTGCTTGCTCACTCGCTCGCTTTCTTGATTCGTTGATTGCTTGTGTGCTTGATTGATGTAATGATTGGTTGTTGATTGGTTGATCGAGCGGTTGATTGACTGACTGACTGGCTGTTAAGTCAGTGTTTAAAACGAGGTTTGGCGAGCAGCCCATGTGCCCTGCCTGGCGAGCGTTTAGCCCTGCCTGCAGTCAGAAAGAGAGAGAAGCCTCAACCCCTGCAAGCCCTAACCGAGGTTTTCTTCCCAAGGCACATCCCAGGCCGGCCTTAAACAAAGCCCATGACACGCTGCAAAGCCTCAAGCTCTGGATATGCCCACGCCGTCTTTGCAGGTCCTGGGACCCACCCTGGACTCCTGAACGCTGAACTAAGCCTTCCACCCTGAGCCGTAAAGCCCAAAACCGTAACTCCTAAACCCCTGAACCCTAGACCCAACTCTAAACCCTGAACCCTAAGCCCTGAACTCTAAACTTAAATCCTAAACCTCAGACCGTAAATACCCTAAGCTTAAACCCTTAGACCTTAAGCCCTCAATGCCAAACCCTAAGCCATCCTCCCCAAGGCACGTCCTGGGCCTGGCGAATATTCAGGTCCGGGGTCCGTTGGAGTTTGCGCTGAGCTGCAGCGGCCCGGCGACCGTTTGCTGGGGTTTAGGGGGGCTAAAGGTTTTAAAAGGCATGCTCCACAGGTTCTATAAGGCATACTATAAGGGGCTCTGCAATCTGTAAAGGAATACCATAAGACTATAATCAGTGTTCCGTAAGGCCTTGACTTTGTTCAGGGCTTAGGGTGTAGCATTTTAGGGTCATTTAGGGTTTGTGGTCTTGAAGTTTCAGAGCTTTGAGGGTTTAGATTTAGGGCTCTAGGTCCCCTATCGAACATGTTGCTGACATCTATTATATACCGCTGTCTCATATCCAAACATTAACCAGACCCTATACCCAAAGACTGGACCGTGAACTGTGAATCCGAAACTCGACGCGCGAGACCCGAAACCCTCAGTAAGCCTATGTGCATCTTCAGCAGAACCACAAATCAGACCCCAACCCTAAACAAAAAAGACTTCAACCCTTAACACCAAAATCGAAACCCAATGCTTCTGAAGGTTAAACTAAACCCCAATACCTAAGCCGTAAGAGCCCTTAGCCGTGAGTGGAATGCCCGTGCCCTGCCAGTCCTCCACCCCCCTTCCCTAAAGCAGACTCTGGACAAGAGCCCAACGCAGGAAAGGCACGAAAAGGCCAACGCTCTAAAGAGCAGCAGAAATCCTTATAACATGAGCCTTAAAATCCCAGGCCCAAACACCTGAAAGCCCTTAGCCCTAAACCCTAAACCCTGGAAGCCCTAAATCCCGAACCCTCGAACCTTAAAGTAGAAGCCCGAAAGCTGGAGCATCGTTAATCTCATGTCCTTGCAAAAATCCTAACCCTCAATTTCTTAAAGTAGAAGCCCGAAAAAGTTGGAACATCGTTATCCTCCTGTCCTAGAGGCAAAGTATAGAGAATCCCAGCACCAATCATCTTAAATCCATCTTTCAACTCTCTCGGGCTTAACCCTAAACCCTAAACCCTAAACCCCTAAGCCCCAAGCCCTAAGCAAGGTGAGAAGGGGATCCCGGCGCCGCGTGGGCTCTTGCCGGCAGACACGGAGTGCTTCCTCATCGGCCCAACCTTGTCTCTTGGCCCCAGAAAGCACCATAAGCTTAGGGTTTAGGGTTCAGGGTTTAGGGTTTAGGTTTTAGGGTTTAGGGTTTAGGGTTGATGATATAAATCCTGCATTACCCATAATAAGGAATATACCATAAGCTAGGGTTCCTTTAAAGGGGACTATAAGGTTCACTACAAGGGATCTATAAGGTATACCTTGTCCCTTGGCCCCAGAAAGCACCATAAGGCTACAAGTGGCCTTAACTACAACTGGGGTTCTGTACTGCAAACGGTGATTCAACGGTTCTATAAGGGCTCTAGAAGGGCTTCAGGGTTGACTGTAGGGTTGTAAGTACGGGCGTTAGGGTTATGTATGGTTCAGGCGCTTAAGGTCGGTTTAGGGCCGTACGGCCAAAGGGGGTTTGAATAATTGAATTGATCACCGTATGTCCTTATAGTTGCTGAAGGTGACATCAGAATATGTCCTGAAAACATATTGCCTCGGCCTATAATCCCAGAAGAGTGGGCTTCATATAAGGCACCCGAATAAAGGCCCAAGCTTTCCCAATCAGGTTCCTACATTATGCTACAAAACCATTAAGGCAATACCCAGAGGCAGCACAGTAGTTCCTTTTTGGGGATTACCTTATAAGGTTCTAAATGTGAACCCCCAAGAGGAACTACTATGGAGCCTTAGGGTAGTTCCAACTGGAGACCTCCAGCAACTTCCCGAATTCGTTCAGCTTCGAGCCTTCCGGGCTTAGTTAGTTGGAGGCGTGTGGTTTACTCAGGGTTTAGGTTTTAGGAGGTTACCTTAAGCTGCCATAACCCATTGCGTCGTAGGGCTCTTACTGGGAATCCTAGTATGGAGTTTATTTCAACAAAAGCAACTATTATTTGACCTCAGGAGGTGCACAGAAAGGCATTTCGGCCTGTAGCCTGAGGATTGATCTTGTAAATGTGCTTCGGATTTGAGGTTTTTGAGCTGTTCACTGGCTCGTTGAAAAGGGGACAATGATGATATTAAGGTCTCTGAGAGGTTGGACAGTTCAAGAAACCCCTCAACAGATCTGCCCCTTCCCCCCCCCCCCCTTCCCCCCGGGTTCTGCGGAATCAGGCCCGCTTGAAGCCCTTATAGTGGCTTGTAATAAGTTCCCGCAACCGACAACCCTCGAAAGGAACCCAGAAAGGAATCCCTAGAGGAACCCCCCCCACCTTTCATCCGTAAAAAGACGGAACAATTCAGGGTTTAGGCTTGAGGGTTTCAGCTACCCTTTACCCTAAACCGCTTAAAGTGCGCCTTGAATCGCAAACGCCGAAGGCAGATGACTCTCCCGGATCCTTTGCCCTACGTGCCTCGGGTTCGTTGCATTATTCCATAAGAGTTCATTTAAGGATCCCTTTGAGGAGGTTGCAAGTTGGAAACTTCCAAAGTTCCTGTGTGATCCTTTTGGGGTGCCTGTTCACAAAAGCGGGGCCTCAACGCCGCAACCCAGTCCTGGGTTAGAGATTTTATGCCAAGTTTTGAGACCGGCAAGAGCACGGTTTAGAGTTTTTGAGATCAGGCTCTCTGATTCGGGTCGAAGGTCGTGTTGATGGCCGCGGCAAGCCGTCAAGACCACACTTCAGGATGTGAGGCTTCAGGCTCTAAGGTTCAAGGTGTCGAGTTAAGGCTAATGCATAGGTGAATTAAAGGGCAGGACATGCCGCAAAGCCTCCTGCTTCAGGGATTGCTTAGCTTAGTAGACAAGAGTAAGCAGAAGTGTATTATTCAGAATCTTTCCTCAAGCTACTTCGAGCTTCAGCTCGTGGCATGATCCTCCACATAGGCCTTCCGAAGTCCCTGGCACGATTCTTTGTTGCGGTTCGGTATATGTGTTTTTTCGGGCATTGTGGCGGTAATGTGATCTGGTTGTCCAGAAAATCTCTAAAGCGCCCCTACATGACTGAAGCCCTGGACAACCCTAACCCTGCAATTGAAACCCTAAGTCTTTGTCATAGTTGGGTGACATTTTACATTTTTATGGGTACTTAAACCCAATAATGGAATAGAAATTTAGATTTTTAATCCTATCCCAACCATGAGCTAGAAGTCCTGAAGCTCTTAAACCCTAAACCCTAAAGCCTGAAATGATCTTGTAGTTTGACGGCGGCAGCATGAGCGGGGGTTTCTCAGCTCGACCACCCCGGATAGGGCTTAGGTGGGTAAGCGGTCGAATTATGATTTGCGTATATACACATGCATATACACGCATCACATGCATGTCAATCTCTCTCTTTCTCTCTCTCTGTCTCTCTCTCTCTCTCTCTCTCTCTCTCTCTTTGTTTGTGTCTGTGTGAGTGCCTGTGTGTGGCAGGGGACATCCTAATCCCTTAAAAATCAACCCTAGAAAACCAAAACTCCCAAAACCTATGCCCCAAATCCTAAGTTTAACCCCTAAAACCCTAACAACCCTAAAGCCTAAACCCGGAACCCTGCAGTCGGAGAAAGGAGCGCGCCCCCAAGAAAAAAACCGAAACCTTCAACCCTTGAACCCAACCCCTAAAGCCTCAAACTGTAAACCCCATGTCTGTGCTGGCTTGTTGTGGAGAGCCCTGCATTCCCGAGGCGCCCTATCAACTCCAGCTCCAAGCGGGCGAGGCCACAGTTTAGGGTCTAGAGGGATTAGGGATCAGGGCGATTAGGGTTTATGGTTTAGGGTCCGGGTGGAATTGTCACAGCTTTTAGGTTTCATACTGGGGCCCCGAGCCCAAAGCCCTTAAATTTAGTTCAAAGAAATGCCCGAAGCCCATTGGAGTCTTAGGATTCAGAGGCTCTGGGGCGGTTTTTTGAGCCAAAAGCTCGGTCGTCTCGGCTTTGGCACAGGGAGTGCCAAAGTCTGACTGAAAAAGTTTAGCAGGTGTAAGTAAGACTCGAAACCGAGGGGCCTAGGCGGAGATGCCGAAGATTCGCCAAAGCTGTGAGCCGATACCTTCGGCTGTAGACGGGCTCTTCATCTGACTTAACTACCATCTTCCTGAATTAAGGAGTTTCGGGATTTTGTACAGGACAGCTGCAGTGCAGCTAAGTGTAGGTGACATGAGGCTTTTGTAACGTGACCTACGACGGGCTACTGAATCCCGAATAGAACAGCACAGTCGTTGTAGAGATGGGACTTTGGCATTTGAACTTTCGCCTGAGATTCGCTGGCCGGGGCCTCATGGTGTCAAGGTTTCCGACGGAGTGTTGAAGCTGCATAGTCAGTAAGTTGATTGCGTATACCTACTATATGTATGTATGCATGCATGTTTGGATGGATGGATGGTATGTTCGTATGTATGTATGCATGCATGTTTATATGCACGCACAAACATTTATGCATTTTCTGTAGACTTCCGAATTATCTAGGCACATGTCAAGGACCTGGCGCATACAACGCATCGGGTTTAGGATCGAGAGCTTGCCTCGGCAGTTAAGGGTGTACTTTATGGGGTTTATAGGGTATGGCCGTTGAGGGTTTGGGTCATTTAGGAGTTTAGGTCTTAAGGATGTAGTTGTTTGCCGCGATAGGTCAGCAGGTGCGGGTAAAATTGAGCTTGGGCAGAGAAGCCGATGCCCCCTCAAGCTGTGAGCCATGTCCAAATGTTGAATGGTCGAGCCTGATGACTCTAATACTTTTACTGGAGTTCAAAACAACCTGTAGGTATGTATATATAACACTAAACAACGTAGCAGAGTCCAATCTAACGTTTACCGGTTTCAGCGTTTAGGGCCTCAAGTTGCGAGGCTGAGCGGGTTGATGAACTGATAACTCGAATCTGGGACTTCACCAGTGCTAGTGCCAGCATCCGAATCCGATGCAAAAACTTATCCTCATTCTGCAGTAGGAAACTTCCCCAAATATCTTCTATTTGAAGCCAGTCTGCCCCGCGCAGAAGGTTTACATTTTCGGCCTCTTCTGCGCGAATCCGGAGCAGCCGCTTTGACGGCCGTAGATTTCAGAGACATGTGAGGTCTCGTCTCGTGCGGTCTGATTGGGGTGTGAGAAGCCCAGGTCATGCTACTTGCGATGATGTATAATGCAAACATATACAGCAGAAAATGTAGTGTATATACATAAAGAAAGTTTAAGTAAGTGTATGATGTCGAACTGATAGTATGTTCGGGTGGTTGAGGGTTTCTGTTGCACCCTTTGTTGTTTTGAGTGCTGTTGTGTTCATCAGGGAGATGAGGTTCATCGAACCCTGAACTCCTCTTCAGCGTCCCAGGGTTCCGGAGGTCAACATTTAAAGGAAGCTCTCCAGTCATTCGCAGCTCCGTGAGTCTGAGATTTGCAGCGAGAAGCCACCCACAAGCCACTACTTCAAGAGTACTATATGGACTACTACAAACAGTACTACAAATGGGTACCCAGCATTGTCTTCCCAAGTGAAAGGCCGACTTACTGTCGCAAGTTTATGTGATCTTGAGGCGTGGCAAAGATGCTTTTGACACATCGTGTAGCAACTAGAAATTGTCAGCTATTGAAAATCCTACTGTTGATAAGATAAATCCTGCATTACCTTAAGGACCCGAAACTATGGGAATTATGGTATATTCCTTATTATGGGTAATGCAGGATTTATATCATCAACCGTAGCTCCCGGACTACGCATCCTCGAACCTTAAAGCCGAAGCTGTAATACAGGGGCTTTTAAGGTTTGAAGGATCTATATAAGGGGTACTATAAGGGCTATTGTGAGGACTCAGTATAGCCCTAAATGCCGAAGCAGATCCGAGGTACAGAGATTCTGGCACCTTTCAGGCGGATTCTCGCGGGCATCAGAGGGTGTCATAAATCTTCCTCTTTTGGCACATAAGGTTTCGGGTTTAGGGTTCCACGTGGGTTATCAGCCTCAGGCGGGGCAGGGTTTTGGAGTTTAGGGTTTGGTGGTCTTAGTTGTCATGTGCCTTTCTGCTGCACTTCTGCGACAGGTGCGGATCCGTGGAACAGTCGCGACGGCTTCAGAGCGCTTGCTGGACATCCAGCCGCATCTTGTCGTGCGGTTTCGGGCCTTCTATGTAGGTCGTTGGGCGATGTTACACCAAGGACTCCAGTTAGTTAAATGACGGGTTACTGGCTTACGGATGAGACGGCTAGTAACTTATGAGCCTAATATTGAAGTAGCTATGGCCCCGGCCTGGAGAATGAAGCGGTGTAACTTCTCACAGCAAACAGCTCGAAACCCATTAATATAGGAGCCTAAATCATTACAAATACTAGTGTGGGTGGCTCCTTATTATAACCATAGTATAATGTACCACCCAAAACCCTGTCCTAATTAGGGAACCCCTAAATATTAGAAGGGATAGACTGGAGACCGCCGTCATTTGTCATTGTTTAAGTTTTGATTGGGCTGTTCATTCTTCGAGTTTCGCGTCTTCCTCGAAAAATCCCCTGTACGCCCAATATCCAAGAGAAATCCGACGCTTAAAGCCATATGCCGTAAATCCCTGAACCTTCAACCACAGACCCTAAAACTGTAAGCCCTCTTGTCTTCCGCGGAACCCTATACACTAAATCTGTAATTACTAGAAACCTCTTGTCTTCCGATTTTTTAAACCTTAAAGCCTAAATCCTAAAAGCTGTAAACCCCCTATCTGCTGAACTTGCAGTTGAACCCGACCCAAACCTTAGACTAACTCTGAAATTAGCAGATCTTTGGGCTAAGTTGTCCAGGTTTAGGGTATGTAGGGTTTATGGTTGAGGGTTACCCTCTTTCGAGTGTCGAGCTGTCTTAACCTGTAACCCCAAACCCTAGAAGATAGTGGGTTCCCACTCGCTTCATACAGGGGTACAACCCCTGAAGCTCTCCACCCCGCGGGGCAAGTAGGGCTCAAGTGATTTCCTTTGATGCCAAGGGTAAAAGGAGGGACCCTTAAAAGGCTTAAAAGGCCCCCTAGGTATATACCCTTAATATAGCTATTATATACCCATTATATAGCCCATTCTAGGGTAGGGGTCCCCATTAAGGGTCCCTCCTTTTCCCGTTTGATTTGAGGTATCTCCTTGCACCAAAGTTGGCGGCTCCTTTGGATTTTCTAGAGGTCGTCACTGACCAGGCCGCGGTGGGGAGCTTTTGTCAGTCTCAATTGGACCCAGCAGGGCCTACGATTTTAGGGCTGGAGCTTCTGTTACCCAGAGACTCCAATATCCCTTAAGTAAGGAATATACCTTGAATTATAATAGGATCCCGAATATGATTTAAGGATTATTCCTTCATTAAGGGATATTGGAGTCTCTGAGTATAAGGGCTGATATACCAAAGCCAAAGCGGTATTTCTTTTAGGGTCCAGGAATAGGGTTTACCTGGACCTGCGGTACTGTACATAGGGTTAACTTCGTAATTTGCACAGGTTGCCTGACTACAAAAGCTAGGCTGGGCCTTCGGTTTCGCGTTGAGGTTTTGGGGTTTGGAGTTAGTTTTGGGTCTATTGTAGGGCTTAGGCCTGAGAGTTTAGATTTTAGGGGTTAGAGTTCAGGGTTTAGAGAAAGTTTAGGATTTCGGTTTGGGCTTAGACCTTCAACTCGATGTCGGGGCTGTGGACTTTGCAGACTTTGGCTTCTGCAGCGAGACTTGTAAAGGCGTGGAGTTTCTGCCTTCCCTAAGCCCTGAAGCCAAGACAAAAGCGATTGACATGGTTAGCTATTAGTAGGGTTATAAGTAGGATAACTATAGTTATAGACCATATTAAGGGACATATACCCCTACTTATATCCCCAAGCCCTAACCACCAAGAACAGAACCCCATGAGGTGTTCCCCACGCAAACCTCCTCAACCTCCCAGACCCCCGGGAGGATCTAGAAAGTAGATCCCCTAATTTGGTGCCCTATACTACTAAGGGTAGTTTATAGGAGCCCATTAAGGGATCTACTTTTTGGATCCTCCCGGGGGTTTGGGCTTAGGGCCGCAAGCTTGTGTGGCGAATTGGCAGGTGAACCCGGCCGGGGCTTTGACCACTGTGGCTTGGCGACCCCATCTACCCAGACCTTCCAAAATCCCCTAATTAAGGAATATCCCTTAGATTATAGTAGGACCCTTAATATGATTTAAGGTATATTCCTTAATTAAGGGACTTTGGAAGGTCTGGGTACCGCTACAAGGGCATTTTAGGTTGCTTTGTTTCGTCGATACACTACTATTCTGTTTTACATCGTCACTGGGCTGTGTTGCGGGCTCCTGTTCTGGACTACAAGCCCTAAAGTTTTGTCTCCGGGTGTTACGATTGCAGGTAGTGTTTCCGTGATGCCGCTCTAAGCTTTCCTGGCATGCCGCACCGGCGATATCCAGTCGCCATGAAGCAGACCAAAGAAACTAGTTTTCACTCCCACTCCAAACAGAGGATTCTGGGCAATTCGGTACTTCAGAAGATCACAGCACCGTTTTCGAACAGTTCCCCAGGTGACCGTGCGTTTTCGCCCACCGCTGGGGGCAAGCGGCATTGTTCGGGCCGTGCGCTTTGTACCTCGGATCGATCTGGGCTTCAGGTTCTGTGGGGCGCAGGATTTTAGGGGTTTGGGGTTTAGGGTTCTATTTGGTTTAGTTTGGGTTTGGGGTTTAGGGTTTCATTAGGGTTTAGGGTTTGGGTTCTGTTTGGTCTAGTTTAGATTTAGGGTTTAGGGTTTCATTAGGGTTTAGGGTTTTCTAAATTGGCCCTCTTATCAACCTTTCCGTGCGAAGACGCATTGGGGTCGCCGGGGCCACAACTGTTTGGAAGATCCCTAAACCCTAAACCCTAAACCCTAAACCGATTCGGGGATTCCGAGAACTGGGGAGGGATGGGCCCCTGAACCCCTGAGCCCTAAAGCCCTGAAGCCCTGAACCCTAAGCCCTAAAGCCCTACAGCCCTAAAGCCCTGAACCCTAAGCCCTAAAGCCCTACAGCCCTAAAGCCCTGAAGCCCTGAAGCCCTAAAGCCCTAAAGCCCTGAAGCCCTTGAACCCCGAGGCCGTAAGCCCCTAAATGGCCTTGAGGTGTTAAGGATGGAAATCACCCTGAAAGCTGAGTATGCTTTGGTTTCTTCGAGCTGCTGCCTTGGTCACTGAAGGGTAGGCCAAACCCCCATGGCGTCTTGTGCTCGAAACACTTTCCCGATCCTGAACTCTGTAGAAGCCCGTAGTCGTTGAGTAGGAATCCCCAAAAGGCCCCTTTCAATAGCGCCGTTATGGTCCTTCATAGTGGGTACTTGGGTTTTTTTTTTTTATAGAGGGTCGTTTGGGGGGGCCAGGTAGAGCAGGAATCCTTTATCCTGTTTGGGGTACATATGGTTTCCAATGCTGGGCAAGTAGAAGCCTGAATCGTTCCCAGCATTGCTCCTTAGGGTTCCTTCAGCATGCTGTGCATATACTGCAATGGCCCGGAAAAGCCCTACTCCAAGCATTCAGCTGCTACAAGTTCTCCAAACCCTAAGCCCTGAACCGATCATGTATGAAGTTACCCTCAGCCCTTATGGTCCTTCATAGCGGGTATTTGGTTTTTAATCGTGGGTCGGTATGAAGTTACCCTCAGTTTTGGCATGTCAATTGGGATTCCTTTAAAGGGTCTACATAGGGGTTACTATAAGGGATCTATAAAGGTACTATAGTACAGGGTCCCTCTTGGCTGTGCCCCCAAGGAAGCGCCTCCGGGCTTCGTGCTCGCCACGGGCATCGGAGGTGCCTCGACCGCCGGACCACATGAAAACCCTTATGGGAGTTTCCGAAAATAGGGGGCCCTAATATAGTACCTTAAAATAGTAGGATCCTTATTCTAAGGAATCCAAAATAAGGTACCCCCAATTTTCGGAAACTCCCGTATATTTACAAAATAGTTTCTGGAGTGTCCACTCCCCTGTGCCTAAGGGTCGAAAGGACCCAATAATGAGGTTAGTAGTTGTGTAGTTATGTAGGTGGACATGTGGGGGATTCTATGATGATTGGGTACCACCATACTAACCTTGACCCAAAGCTCTAACTCCGAAAACCCCTAAACCCAAAACCCTGGTAGCCTGCTCCCTGTGCCCTAAATCACCAAAGAGCCTTGCAGGCCTCAAGCTCTGAAGCCCTAAACACCCCCCTCCGCCTCCCATCCGGGCCCAGAGACTCCAATAAAACCATAATAGGATCCCTAATGTGATTTTAGGAATATTCCTTAATCAAGGGATATTGGACTGAGAGGTCCCTGCATGGGATTCAGCTCCTCCGTCCTCCAGACCGGGGACACAGTGCTCCCCCCGAGTGCCTGCTCAGGCACTGGGAGTCGGTTGTGGTTCTTATCGGGTTTTCAATTGGGTTGGGGCTTTGGTAGAACGGTGTTCAGGGATGTCAAAATGGTTAGTGGATTATATAAGCTGTTTATCCAAAAGGGGTTGAGGGGTTTGTGTTGGGGCCCCATTGTAATGATTAAGGCCACCATACCGTGGTATCGGGAGCTCGGCTTGCGTGGGAAGCTCCGATGGGTTTGTGTTTTTCTTTCAAGTATTTAAAGCTTCGGGTCCTGCGGAAAGTTCCTTTAAGGGCCCCTTGACGGATTCCTTCAAGCAGCTTTAAGTAGTAAGGTCTTCCTAGAATTGTCTATACACCTAGTGTGTTGGGGCTTGGAGAATTGGCTTCAGGTTCTACTTTCTAGGGATAGGCACCACGTTGACGGCTTTAAAGCCAAAACCGGTGAGCCGGAAGCTATCCAGACGGAGAGGCTATTCAAGCGGAGATTGCCTGACTCGCTTGTGAAGAGTTTGGCCTGGTCAAAAAGCTCGGCTCAGGGCGGCAACCGTGCGAACGCACTTGGGCGAAATCCTGTCGCCAATGTTCCGGGTTGGATTGCTTACGACCCGCTGCTCCCGCAAGAGTTGCCACCGCCGCTGCTGGAAGGCCACAGTGAACACACTGCAAACCCTCAAAGCCTCAACCGCAAACCCTACAGTACTCTCTTTTGCAACCCTTAGTTCGAGGACTCCTATAGTATTTGTATAAACCATATAGTAACCCGTATAGTACCCTTATAAGTACCACGATCTGTAGTATCCTTATTGTCCCGTCTATAGCAAAAAAATATGAGTATCTTGAAGGTAATCCCTATAGCAACCCCAGAGGTAACCCTTATAGTAGAGTTAAAGCGAGTGAGGGCTCTGCCGTTCGGGCCCCGAAGGTTTAACCCATGGGTTCAGGGTTTGGGGTGTAAGGTTTGAGGTTGAGATGTTAGGGTTCAGGGTAGGTCAAAAAAGCCTAATAAAGGTCCTCACCTGGCCGCATATCTATGCCCAACCCAACCGCTCCGAAGCAAGCAAATGCCAGCCCTTAGGCTATAAAGCATACTCCTAAGCCTCCCTGTGTAAATTACCCAAACTACTCATCGACTAGAGCTTTGGTGTGCAGGCCTTTTGAAACGTTTTTAAAAACAAGGCCAGTCAGAATCAGAAAAAGACGCACCCCAGTCCTAAACCCTAAACCCTAAACCTAGAATCGGGAGATTTTCGACGCAGAGGCGCCTCACCTCAGTCTGTGCTGCTGACGATGCCCGAGGCATTGCCACTCCTTGGCCAGGACCTGAGCTGTTGGGTAGTTCTCTAATTTAGGGTCCCTTTTAGGGTCCTTTTCAAATATGGGCGCCGTACGAGTTGGGGGACCTAAACGGGACCCAAAGTGAGACAACGATCCAGAATCCATGGGGTTTGGGATGGTTTTCGGCAGGTTTGGTAGGGTTTACGAGCTTCAGTGGGGTTTCAGGGTTTGAGTTTTCCAGGGTTTCTAGGGCTTCAGGGTCTCTACGCTGGGCGGTTCATGGAATAATAGGGACGCCGGATCGATCGGTAACTTTAATCCTCCCCCCTTACGCAAATAACTGTATAGAAAATACGTTATAGATATGTGCAAATCATACATCTATTCATATGGATTAACTATGACATTAGCAGTCATCATCTTCTCACAGTCTCCTCTGTTTCGCATTTTGCCACTGCAGTCGTGCAGGTTACTGTGGCCAACCCTGACCTCTTGATCCCGAATCCTTTTAGGAACTTCTAAAGTTCAAAACCAAAAACCTAAACCCGGACGTTCGGGCTTAAGGTAGGAGTTCCTATTATCAAACCTTTTGGGGAAGGGAAAAGAAAGAGCCCCCTCCTACCACGGGTACTTTATAGAAACCCCTGAAAGGAACCCCTATTCTAGTTATTAAGGCCCCTATACTAAACCCCCCTAATCGCCAAGAAGAATCAATTGCAGGGGCTGACCGGGTGGGCCTCACCTACGTGTTCCAGCTTGGCATGATCAGCCCTCTCCAGGAGGCAGTAGATAACGAGAGACTTTAAGGAGTTTAGGGTTTAGGGTTTAGGGGGGTTTTGGGAGAAATGAAGATGGTTCAGATAGCCTCGTATGTCGGGGTTTAGGGGTTGCAGGGAGTGGGGCTTGGGCTTCAGGGTGGAGATTACCGGATTTGGGGCTTGCAGGAAAAAAGAAGCCGAAACAATAGGATGCTCAAGGGAAGGACCCCGAAAGCAAAGTAACGGTCTACGTGAGGAAGACCCTACTGAAGCACGTTGAACACGAAGCTCTTCACCTCAGAGTTGGTTGAGCTGTTTATATGCAGGTTCGTATGGGTTTGAGATCCGCAGATTTGCATAAGCCCAAAGGGTCCAAGTACCATCTTAGTAGGTACTTAGTAGGTATTTTGGCCCCCAAAGTATATACTGTACTATTACTTGGACCCTTTGGGAAGGCATTAGTAGGTTCTCGTGCTTTCCCACATCTAAGCACGACGCCCTCAACCCTGAGCTTCAGGCCTCAACGCAACACGCACTACTCCCCTGAACCCAAATTTTTTCCTAAAGCCTTACATCCCAAACCCTAAAGAACCCTACACCGACAAAGAAGCTACATTTTTACAGTGCGCCTTGTAGATCCCTTAAATCCGCCCCTTGAAGGGAACCCCTTCAAAGGGAAGCGAATCCCTTCCTGTAGGGGCCTTAACAGTGAGAATAGGCTTTTGGGGCCCATTATGCTGAAATTTTAGTAAGGAGCCCACAAAGTAGTATAGGTGAGTATTAAGGCCTCTATACTAAGTCCTTATAATGGCCCAAACAGTTGCCCTTATAGACCCCTTGAGGCCCTTACATTGCGTCTGAGAGGTCTTGGTCGACCTCCTGCTGCTTGCTTTGAGCCCCGGGCCGGGTGACGCCCCTCTGCTCCTTGGCAGGTTTATGAGGGCGCCTTGATACTTATAGAATTACTTAAAGGATCATGGGACTTAGGAACTAGGGTTATAAGTAAGGTAACTATTCTTGTAGTTGCTTATGACCACAATTAAGGTACTTAGAGCCTTACTTAATAAGTCCCCCGATCCTCCAAGTAGGGGTTCCTTCAGGGGTTTATAAGGGTTTCGCCTCAAATCCCAAGGCCCTAGACCCTAAACCCGAAAACGCAAGGGCCCTGAACAGATAATGTCCCAATGCCCAGACCCGACATCCCTAGACCGTAGGGCCGTTAAGATGAAGGGTCATGGAACCTAGAAAGGTATGTGAACTTCGAGCGTTATTCCTATTGCCGATTGACCGACTTACGAAATCCTACGACCCCATAGTATAACCTTATATAAACCCGCGTAGAAACCACGGACAAAACCTTGTGTCCTGACTTACAAACGTTTTCTTATCCTGCAAGAAGAAGTGTATGCAAACCCAAAGCCCTTGCCCCCGAAGCCTTAAAAATTTGGGCCCTAAAAGAAACAACCCCCAAACCAAAACCCAGAACCACCGAAAACAGAAACCCAAACCCCAAAACCCTCAACCCCTAAACCCTAAAACCCTTGGGCCCTTTAGCAAAATGGGGGTTTCCGAAAATAGGGGACCCTAATATAGCACCCTAAATAGTAGGATCCTTATTATAAGGACCCAAAAATTAGGTACCCCGATTTTCGGAAACTCCCAAATCTCCGCCCAAAGGTACGCCGCCAGCGTCCCGGGATTCGCCTCGAACATTCCCGGCCTTCGGCCTCTGGAACCCGGCCCTCTGCCGGAGGAGCTCACGCCGTGTTTTCGTCGTCCTTTCTTCCGTAATGGATTTACCGGTGTGGGGCAGATTTTCGGGTTCAGGGTAATGCATGTATTGAGGGTTTAGCATGGGGCTTTGGATATGAGGTTTAGGGTGGTATATGTGCTTTGGGAATTGGAGAATTGGATCTAAGGTGCAGGGATGTTTACGGTAATACATGGGGTTTTGCCATGAGGGTTTGGGGTCTGGGGGTGGCGATTCGGATTTGGGAAGTCTAGGGATTATGGTTTTGGGTGAAGCGTATACCTGTATCCCCAAACCCTACAAAGTAGGTTATGACTCCCTTAGTTAGATGGTCGAACCCTTAAAGCGGTAGGTTGTTTGGATTCCCAGGAAGGCTTCTAGAAAATTATGGTTTTGGGTCTAGGGCATATGGGCTTTAGAGACGAACAAAAGACATCTGATCGGTAGCTTCGAGATCCGAATCTTCGGGCCCTGACTGCCACGGGTTTGGAGGGTTTGAGGGTTTAGGGTTCTCTTTGTAGGGGTTTTGGTTTTAGGGTCTGGTTTAGGGCATAGGGGTTTAGGGTTTAAGTTGTTTGTTCTCTTTGTAGGGGTTTTGGTTTTAGGGTCTACAGTATTTTTCACTTACCATGGCCAGCCGTCTTCTTGATCATGCTTAGGATTATTGCCAGCAGTCTCAGTTACACTGCAGCCCTAAACCCGAAACGCTAAACCCTAAAAACCTACGCCCTTCGGAGCAAGGAAATAGTAGTCGTACCGCCTTAACCTTGGAGGCCTGAAACTATGTAGTCGTCTTAACAAATCACCCAACACCCTCTTCTCTCTCTGCATATGTACATATAATATATCTATATACAAGAATACTTATTTGCATATGGATGTACCACATGTATACATATAATATATACATATATATATATATATATCTCTATCTATACACATGCGTATATGTATATGCAAACATATGTATGTGTATATAGGTATATAGATAAAATATCAGACCCTTACATTATTCATTGTTTCCATAGGAGGTCTACGAGTATCTTTGTTATAAAGCTTCCCGACATTGTTCACTTAAGGGCCCAAGCCCTTCATTATGGGCGCTAAATCATGAGATCTTTCTTTTCAACACGAACCACACCCTAAAATCCTAAGCCTTAAACCAAGCGTAAGCCCTAAACCCTGAAACCTACAGCCCGCGAAACCTCTAAGCCTTCGGATGCGGAGACTGCTTGGAGGATCGGTGGGCTTAGTAAGTCGGGTTATAAGAACCATAGTTGTGGTTATGTGTAACTACAGCAGTAGCAGTATAGGTACCTTACTTATTAGTCTATAGTTACTAAGTCATGATCCTTTAAGTGTGGCTTCAACGCTTAGAGGAGCAGCTTGTTCCGCAGCCGGTGGACAACGTTCTCGAGCCCTTCTCCACCGTGCAGCTCGCATCGCGGGGGATGCCTTGGAGTATCTAGGTGGCATAATTCATGAAGCCTAAGAAACACTGAACCTTAAGCCTATATAAACCTATAAGCCTATACACCCTAAACCCGAACCCTAAACCTTATAAAGCTGAAAGCCCTAAATCCGAACCCTAGCCCCAAAGGCCCTAAACCCTACACCTGAACCCTAGACCCAACCTGAAGCCGGACTAACCTACCTCGTTAAGGACTTATAGAAGGAAATCATAGTAAGGAACCTTAAAAAGGTAGGTTATTCAGGGTTAGGGAAAGCCCTAAACCCTAAAACCTAAACCCAAAGCCCTAAACTCAAAGCGGAAAAGGAGGGACCCTTAATGGGGACCCCTACCCTATAATCGGCTATATAATGGGTATACAATTGCTATATTAAGGGTATATACCTAGGGGTCCTTATTAAGGGTCCCTCCTTTTACCCTTGGATAAACGATCCAGGCGGAAGATGCTTCTGGCTGCTCCTTCTCGCTCCTTTCACTTAGAGGCCGGTGAGCAATCGCGAGACGGGAATTCATCAGAGCGCCCATCAGGGTGCAGGATTCAGGCTCAGGGCTTAGGTGTAAGGTTCAGGTTTTGGGGTTTAGGCTGTGGGGGTTGAGGCCAGGGTTCACCGTAGGGCTCCAAGTCTACAAGTAGTATGTACTTTGAGGTCTGAAGTCTATAAGTACCTTGGGCTACCGAAACCTACTTTCTGACGGCATCCATAAATTCCATATCAGGGTTTTGAATAAGATCCTACGAAACGTAGGTTTTGGTTGTACCTCCTTTGCGCTAGTTGGAGCCCCACAGCCAGGTTTCAGGCCAGGGTCAGGGGTTCAGGATAGGCGTAGCTTAAGGGTTCAGGTTTCAAGGTGTAGGTTAGCGGTTCGGGATTCAGGGTGTTCATAATCGTGTCGTGTTTTCCATCATGGGATTGTCAATATCCTTTCGAACTCCTGCAGGCTCCTGTATTATTGTTATCCTGACCCTGCCTATGGTCTCCATTGTAGTTCCTTCTGTGGTCTAACCAAATTTGTAAATAAGACGCTGCAAGGTAACCCCAAAAAGGAATTACAAGGCAGACCATCGGTATATCCTAAACCCATAACCCAGCATCATCTTCGTCTCAACTGCAGAACTGTCACACGAGCATGCATGCACATCTGCACACAGAGTCGCCGAAAGTGACAAATCCTAAACCCTGCCCTAAGCCCCCAGACTCTACACTGGCTTACGCCTCGAGAGATCTAGACCGCGAGACAACGACAGGGAGAACTTTTGGTCAAAGTCCGAGTTTCTACACGGCACATAGTCGAGACCAGGTGAAGAGCATGACCTTGTTTTTTTTGCCTCTCGTGCGAGATACATGACTTCGGAAAGCTTAGGCCAGAATAGCTGTAGAAGGCCTGGCAGTCTTCTTTCTAGACATCGCACTCACTGCCGCCGCAGGCCGACTGCACCGTCGTCAAGGCGACCTCCTTCTACAGCTGTGGGACAGAGCTCCACCGTAACTAGTGGTGGTCGATGCCTGATGTACCCATTCATGAGCTTCCACGATGGATCGACACCATTTTGCGCCGAGTCCCTGAAGACAGACGTATTCTTCTGTAGTCGGTGATTGCATGTTGGCTACGGCGACGATAACGCGGCGATGAAGCGAGGCCGCCTTGTGCTCCTGCCTTCGCACCGAGAAGCTGATTCGCACCCAGAGCTGCAACGACCATGCCCGGCATCTTGACGGGGAGCTCTTTGTCCTGAATAGCCACGGCAATCTGGAAAGTTGCGCTGGAAAAGGTTGGCCGATCTCCAGTCGTCTGAAGATGAGACTTTCGGCACCTGCTGGCGGGTGTCCAGACACCCCGCCAAGTTCTCTGGACCCTGAGGGCAAACTGCTGCACTCTTCGTTAAATGAGGCATTCGCGTTTGTTCAGGCCTGGTGAGGTAGCCTGAATATAGGCGCCTAAACAATTTCCTGTGCTATTTTGGCGGCTCCTTGTTGAAACCATGGTGTTATGTAATACCACAGAACCCTACTCAGATTATGAAAACACAGTTTTTTCCTTCGATTTCCGGCCCATGGTCCAGACATCTTGGAGCCGGGGACTTTCGGTGCTTTAGCCATCTTATCAGACGCAAAGGAAAAAGGAGCCCCAAAACCTAGTCTAATGTTTATGGCTGGTAGTAAACTCTAAGGCGGTGTCACAGCCTGGAGCATGCAGTGGTCTTTGTCCGGTAATCCATTTGTTTTTCTCTGAGGACTTAGAATATTGGGAGATGCTTTTACTTGGATAGTGAACGGTGGAGCTTTAAACCTTTCTGGCCTTACATATTAGCTCCATCTTAGACAGGTTTGAACTTTTGGGGCCCGATTGTTGAAGTATCTCTCCAACTATGCGCTAAGCATCCGTGACCGACACCAATACGTGACCGACACATTCGTATCATAGTTACATGGGAGTTTCCGAAAATAGGGGACGCTAATATAGTACCCTAAATAGTAGGGTCCTTATTATAAGGACCCCAAAATAAGGTACCCCTAGTTTTGGGAAACTCCCACATTGGCCGTCCAGAGCCTCCAAAAGGAATCTCTGGTGAAAGGGCAGCAAAGCTTTCTGCCCAAGCGTGCTGTGAAAAAACTGCCCAGCACGGCTAGGGGTCATGGCTTCAGTGTTTGTAAATGGCTTAGGATTTATTGTCTCGGATCTTGTCTGCTCAAGCTGACCATTTTAAGACTTCGGGTAGCTCATGTGCACTTGTTTGGCAACCGGGATACGAGCTGATACCACCAAAGTCTCCACACCTGGAAGGTTTTTCGCTTTCGTAGCCCCACCATTGTCAGACCCTAGCATGTAGACCCAGACACCCAGCAAGCTTCATTTTGGATATGGGTGTACCTAGACCCCGACAGTATGCAGAACTGAAGCCTGTCATAGATGCTGGGTCGCTACTTTAGTATCTAGAGTTTTGCCGGAATTTCGAAGAACTAATGGTTGCCTTTTCACGCGTCGTTCAATCGAAGGTTACTGTTTTGCTTGCTCAGCGCATCCCCAATCTTCACAGGGTCTGTTGTATTCAAAAGCTCAATGTATTTTTTGTTATTACAACAGTTATTACAACTATAATATAACATAATTACACTATCGTTTTTATCGCCTCAAGGTACCAGTATTCCTTGACAGTCGGTAAAGGGGTAGTTCGGTTCCCAAACTGTAGGGTAAGACCCCATGTACTGTACCTATCAAGTATATACTTAGGCCTGAAAGGGGTTCATATAGAGCAACTTTACGGCCTCAGTTGTATAGTGTACACGGAGCTTCAGGGACTTCGCCCCCCCCCCCCTCCCTTGCCTTGCCAGGCCCTGATCTAGGGATATCTCTGACTGATTCGGCTTCATTATACGGGGTTTTGCATGGGATATCACTATCCTCATTTTTGCTCATGTGCCTTTTTTGGGGCCCTAAATCCCATATCCTCCCAACTGCAGAGGTCTGCAGAGTTAGAATGAGTTTCTCATTAAAGTCCCTGTAAAGCAGCTCTGCATTAGCATAACACCCAAACTGCCCAAACCGTATTCAACTTTTTAAACACCCGTAGAAGCCCTAACACCAAAGCCTAAAGTAAGCCCAAACCCCCCCATGACCTAGCAAGCTTCAGTGTTTCCGCCTTCGCCTGCGGCCCCATCGGTGCAGAAGTAGTGGAGTTTGGACTGGAGGCACAGAGACAGCAGCGGCTGGGGCAGCATCCGACCCTGTCAGTGGGGATTTAGTTTAGGGCTACATGTTTAGGGTTTCAGGTCCAAGTTGTGGAACAGTGTTCCCTAGCGAAGGAGCCATCTGGGGTTTGTTCGATGTTGACTGAGGATTTGAGAAATCCAGTTCGAGGCAGCTTAGTTCCATTAACCGTTAACCCGTGTGATTGTGTTGCACATAACTTCCCTCACATCCCCCAAAACAAACAAAGCACCCCGAACCCCCCCGTTCTCCCTAAACCCTACACCAGGCCTTTGCCCTCAACCCGTGTGGGAGTTTCCGACGATAGGGGACCCTAATACAGCACCCTAAATAGGAGGATCCGTATGATAAGGACCCCAAATAAGAAACCCCTAAAGAACCCTTAAAGGAACCCTAGGACCCAAAAGTACGGTACTTCGGAAACTCCCATGTCGCGCTGAGGTCATGGCCTTCATGCGCACTTGTGTTGCTGCTATCCTCCTGGTGGCTCTTGCTGCAGTCAGTCCCAGAGAGTGTCCATGCTTGCTGCCATCATGGAACTAGGCCCCTCAAAGCCGTAATTAACACGGTATATCTGGGAAACTCCATATTGTTAGTATATATGTGCTATGTACATGTACATATATATATATACACATGTATATGTATAGTATGTATATATATATATATATATATATATTCACAGTACATACATGTGTGAATAGATTTGTATATATATATATATATATGTATATGTATATGTATAGATATATAGGAAAATAGACACACAGACATCTATATATTCACATATATAGATACATATGTAGGAAACTATGTATTTATTGATATATGCGGAGACTGGGAGTGACCTTTTGGGCCTCGTTTGGAAAGTAGTTTTGAAAGCAACCCCCAGCGGACAACCCATTTGCAACTTAGGCATGAGGTCGGGGTTTGGGGTTGTAGTGAGTTAGTAGGGAAATTCTCTAAATTGGGCTCCCTTTGAGGGTCCTTCTTATGAGGGTGCCGTACTGTCTTCGGGAGCTAAAGGGGGGTCCTAATGTAGAGAACTATCCCAGTAGTGAGTGCGCGTGCCCTTGCAGAGGCATCTTCGTTCCAGGGGTTCAAAGCAAATTGTTCTGCAGAACGAGCTCCGTTGAGTCTCCGCTGTATAAGACTTTCGACTTTTCTTAATCCGTTTTGCATGGAGGCACCGATAAACCCTAAATACTAAACCGTCTCATTGATCATGTTCGTGTAGGCTGCCAAGGAAGCAGTACGCAATGGGTTTCCTTCAATTGCACAATAAGTTGTTCTTTGCACGCACTTCTTCTTCAAATCCTCGACTTGCCTTCAGTACTGAAGCGGCAACAACTCTGCTCAAGAAGCGGGGATCTTTGGTGATGGAAACTGTGCTGTTGCTCTGTGGGAGAAATTCCCCTACACCTCAAACACCTACAGGGGAGTTTCCGAAAGTAGTAGTAGGATCCTTATTATAAGGACCCAAAATACGGTACCCGTGTGTTCGAAAAATCCCATATGAACCCTAAGCCCTAAACCAGATACTTGGAAGGGCAGGGGACTTAGTAAGTAGGTTAAATCATAAGTAGAGTTATAAGTACCCTAAATGGAGTTACCCCAATTATAACCCTACTTACAAGCTACTTACTAAGCCCCCTGCCCTTCCAAGTAGTTCTCCCCAGGCGGCGAGCGTGATCGCGCAGGATGAGCCGGAGATTACCCACAAGGCAGACTCGGTGTAGGGGAGCATAGTTCCCAGAAGAAAGTCATGCTTG